AAATCAAGCCTTGAAAGGATCTAGTTGCTCCCAGGTAACTTAACTCTGTGCTATAATAAAGTTCAACCCTATTCAGAGACTACAACAAAATCCAGCAAACAACAATGTAGAATTACAGTGTCAGGCATCTAGTAAAAAATTACCAGGCATGCAATGAAGCAGGAAAATATTACTCAGAACCAGAAGAAAAACTGGTCAATAGAAACAGACTCAGAAATTATAGAAATGATGAATTAGCAGATAAGAACATTAAAACAGCTATTTTAAATATGCTACCCATGTACAAAAAAGTAGAGGGAAAAAACATAAACATGATAAGAAGATAAATTGATGACATAAAAAAGACCTGGATGGGACATATACAGATGAATAATGCAGTATCTGAAATGAAAAATACTGGATGAGATTAATAGTTGATCAGATACTGCAGAAAAAAAGATAAGTGAGGTCCAAGGCAGAGCAGTAGAAACTATCCACAAGGAAGCATAGAGAGAAAAAAGACTGAAAAAATTAAGAGAGGTTAGTGACTTGTGGCCTGTACGTATATAATCCAAGTGGGCTACATCTGTATAATTAAAGTGCCAAGAAAATGATGTGAGGGGTGGGGAGAAAATATTTGAAGAAATCATGAATAAAAATGTTTTAACTTTGATGACAACTATAAATTGACAGATTCAAGGAGCTCAACAAACACTAAGCAGAAAGAAAACCACATCAAAACACATTAACACAGGGCGCCTGGGTGGCTCAGTTGGTTAAGCAACTGCCTTCGGCTCAGGTCATGATCCCAGGGTCCTGGGATCGAGCCCCGCATCGGGCTCCCGGCTCAGCGGGAAGCCTGCTTCTCCCTCTCCCACTCCCCCTGCTTGTGTTCCTGCTCTCGCTGTCTCTGTCTCTGTCAAATAAATAAATAAAATCTTAAGAAAAAAAAAAACACATTAACACATTATAATCAAATTGTTGAATATCAATGGTAAAAAGAAAGTCTTAAAAAGCAGCCAGAGGAAAAGGGATACATCACATACCCAGAAACAAAAATGACAATAACAGCAGATTTCTTGTTACAAACTGTAATCCAGAAGACAATGGAGCAACATCTTTAAGGTGATGAAAGAAAAACTGTCAATCTTGGATTTAATGCCCAGCAAAAACAATATAAAAATAAAAGTGAAATGAAAACTTTTCAAACAGACAAAGGTGAGAGAACCACCACTAGAAGTTCTTCATTATAAGATATCTTTTTTTTTTTTTAAGATTTTATTTATTTATCTGACAGAGAGATAGCGAGAGCAGGAACACAAGCAGCGGGAGTGGGAGAGGGAGAAGCAGGCTTCCTGCAGAGCAGGGAGCCCGATGTGGGGCTCGATCCCAGGACCCTGGGATCATGACCTGAGCCAAAGGCAGACGCTCAACGACTGAGCCACCCAGGCGCCCCATTATAAGATATCTTAATAGAAGTTTTTTAGGTAGCATACCACATGAGAAAAAGACTTACTTAAATGACTGAAGAGTGCCAGAAATGGTAAATACGTGCATAATTTCTTTAAATGATAATTGCCTGTTTAGAGCAAAAATAATCACAGTGTACTGTGAGATTCATAACACATGTTGAAGCAAAATGTATGAAAATAGCACAAAGAAGGAAGAAATCGAAGTGTACTGTTATAAGATTCTTTTACTATAAAGTCTAACTTATTTGAAGTTAGACTGTTGTACATTAAAGAGTATAATATGTACCCTATAGGGGACAAAAATATGTTACACAAATCAAGCCCTTGTAAATAAAAACAAAAATAAAACCTCTGAAGAGCTACTTCAATAATTTTATCATTCTCAAATTTGTGTCTTTCATTCTGGCTTTAATTAGTTATAATGACGTTTGTAATTTCAAAATTTAACCTGTCTCTGTAGTTCAACATCTGCTCCTCTTTTATTAAACATTGCCAAGTAACAGCAAAGGAAGTATTTTCAGCATCATGCTGGTCTCAGCAAGCTAAATTTGGTACTGTGGAATTTGTTGGTGAGGATAAACTATGTGAGAATTCCTATGCTTGAAGTAATGCTGGCATTGGGCCATTTCTATTTAAATGTTGGGTTTGGAAAAAATTGTGTTTACAAACTGATTCTGCCACTAGGAAACTGTACTACCTTCCGTTGGGGAAAATATGTAAAGTCCCTGTGACTTGGAGGTTCCATACGTTGCACATCGCAAAGAGAAGAATACACACCTCTCTGGTGCCCTTCCTTATTTACCGTAGAATGAACAAGACTTTTGGAAACTGTGATGGAAAACTTGCTTACTTAATAACTAGCCATTCTTTTATTTTTTAAAAAAATTGATTTTTTTATTTCTACTTAGGCTTTTTTTTTTTTTAAATTTAGCATTATCTATTGATTTCCTACTAAGGAGGGTTCAGGTTAAGTTTAATTGCAATATTCCTTACCTGACGCCCACCCCCACTTCCCACCTTCCCCATCCCCCTGGTCAATATATATATTTTTAAAGATTTTATTTATTTATTTGAGAGAGAGTGGAGCCGGATGAGGGGCTCGATTTCACAACCCTGAGATCATGACCTGAGCTGAAATCAAGAGTTCCATGCTTAACCAACTGAGGAGCAGAAAGTAATACTGACTGACCTCATTGGTTTTTCCACCAATGTGTCTCCCTATGCAGAACTACATGTGGGTCATAGCTGAAACCGTGAGCTTAAATAAGGTCTATTACTTAGTGGCTGGATAATCGGATAGTGGTACAACGTGGTAAGTGGCAGTGGACAGCTTAAAGAAGGAAGGTAGATAGTTAATAAGAACGTCTAGATAGAGACGCAGGCAGCCTGGCTTGATAATAAAGAACAAGTAGGGGAATCAGGAGATCCAAACAATGTCCCAGTTCTGCCATTTGCTAGACCTAAAGCAAGGCCATGTGACCTCCCTGGGCCTTAGTTTCTCTTTGGACTAGAGTAACGCTTCCCTAAGCGGAGTGAGTACCATGGTGGTACAGCAGATTTTTTTTCCTTTTTAATATATATTAATGTTTTTTTGAAAATATAACTATTTTGGGGCGCCTGGGTGGCTCAGTCGGTTAAGCGTCTGCCTTCGGCTCAGGTCATGATCTCAGGGTCCTGGGATCGAGCCCCGCATCGGGCTCCTTGCTCCGCGGGAAGCCTGCTTCTCCCTCTCCCATTCTCCCTACTTGTGTTCCCTCTCTCGCGTGTCTCTCTCTGTCAAATAAATAAATAAAATCTTTAAAAAAAAAAAAAAGAAAATATAACTATTTTTAGAGACTGTAACTATATCCAACCACAATTTTATGAATATTATTGATTAGGGTGAGTTAACATATAAAAATGAAGCCAATATAAAAACAAATATTATGTAAACAAGAGTCCAAACAATACCAGGATGGGGGAAAAAACTGAAAACCTTATCAGTCTAAAATGTTGGGTTTTACTCTTTATTTCTATTTGTTTTTTAAAGAGTTTACAATAGCACATAGTTTGCACATAACAGTATAAATAAAATGAGAGAAAGATCCTGGCCACAAAGCTGTGAAAAGTAGCCATCAGATGGGCATGGGGTAACTGATGAGCTGAATCCTAAGCCAGCAGCAGTGGGTGAAGTTGAGAGACAACCTGATTTGCATCCCAGAACCTCTGAGAGGCCTAGGAGTTTGTAGCATCCGATACTTCTGCAAGCAAAGGTGGGGAGATAAGGTTAAAAACAGAACAACTGTGCTTGACCGACTGTTGAGGAACGAGTAGGACACCCTTCCTCATGCCACACAGCCAGAAACTGGCGCCCTTCTCACTCAGATGGTCAGAAGACTCCACAAGAGAATGCTTCAAGAAGATGAACCTGTTGGAATATCATGGGCATCAGTGCTGAGAGATTTGTGCAGCCCAGGGAAGTCTGGAGATACATTAGTGAAAAGTGTATCAAAAAATCTTACCAAACCATAGTACTGTTAATAACTCTGTAAAGGGTTTCCCAAGGAAAACAAATAGCTGTGCAGACAAGGAAAAGTAATCACAGTTTCCTATGTGGCTCAGATGACCCTAGTGGTTGGTTTCACCATTAAAGTCATGTCAGCTGAATATAAACTGGGGGAGGGGCACCTGGGTGGCTCAGTCAGTTAAGCTCTGACTTCGGCTCAGGTCATGATCTCAAGGTCCTGTCACGATCTCAAGGTTCTGGGTTCGAGCCCCCCTGTGTAGAGCTCCTGGCTCAGTGGTGAGTCTGCTTCTCCCTCTGTCCCTTCCCCTGCTTGTGCTCTCTCTCGCTCAAATAAATAAATAAAATCTTTAAAAATATATATATTGACCAGGGGGATGGGGAAGGTGGGAAGTGGGTGTGGGCGTCAGGTAAGGAATATTGCAATTAAACTTAACCTGAATCCTCCTTAGTAGGAAATCAATAGATAATGCTAAATTAAAAAAAAAAAAAAAGCCTAAGTAGAAATAAAAAAAAATCAATTTTTAAAAAAAATAAAATATAAATAAATATAAATTTTAAAAAAATCAATAGATAATGCTAAATTAAAAAAAAAAAAAAGCCTAAGTAGAAATATCAGGGTTTGTTTTTATTCTTTTATTTTTTTAATCTTTATTCTTTTATTTTTTTAAATTTTTATTTATTTGGACAGAGAGTGCATGAATGGGGGGAGGGTAAAAGGAAGGGGACCATCTCAAGAGACTCCCCACTGAGTGTGGAGCCAGATGAGGGGCTCAATTTCACAACCCTGAGATCATGACCTGAGCTGAAATCAAGAGTCCCATGCTTAACCAACTGAGCCACCCAGGTGCCTCTATCAGGGTTTGTTTTTAAAAATAAAGAATTGAAGGTAAATATGAAAACAGTAGTTTAGAAACACTGAGAGTGGTAACTTCAAGAGGTGGAGTACAGCTTTATTTTTTTGTAACAAATATTGTAGAACTATTTGATCCTTAACTATATGCAAACTAATTTTGGCATAATTTTTTAAATTCCATTCCACGAAGGTGTGGTGCGAATGACAGAACTTCGGAAAATACTGGTCTGCAAGGCTTTAACCTCCTGACAGTCTGTGAATTGATTGAGAAGAATCTCCATTGCCATTTGTTTATTGTCATGACACCCAGGAAGCTCAAGTCACATGCATTTATTATTTAAGTTATAGTGAATTATCTTGGGGACAGTGGTGCCGAGGATTATAACATGGAGACATTACAGGGGTTTATCACCCACGGCTGGAAGCACCTGTGACTCCTGAAAAACTTTAAGTACTCATTTATAAAGGCACATGTTTGCCTAGTAAATACTACTCCCCACTCCCCTTTTTTTTAAGTTACAGATGATTCTGGAATGGTGGGGGACCAGGATGCATATACCATGGCTGGAAGGCTTTACCGGTTTCATTTCATGACATTTGTTAAACTGGAAATATGAGGAGTGGGTAGGCATCTGTTGTTAAATGAAATAAAGCATATAAAATGCTAGGCACTGAACGAACATTTGCTACCCTCTCTTTCACCCAACCTCACGGGGAAGAAGATTAATAGGCAGTCACTCAAATTGTGACTGATCATTTCTCGGGTTCCTAGAACATGGAACCAGAGTGATGGTTGAGAGGCGAGGAGCTTTTTTTTTTTTATAAAGCAGAATCTAGAATTACATCAACAGAAAGAAAAATTAATGGAAAATGACTTGATTTTACACCTGATTGTTTGGAACATTCCAAAGCCAAGAGAAGCCTTTCTTGTCACACGTGATTTCATGATAATTAGGACCAGCTGTGCCTGGGCAATTCAGGTCAAGCCAGATGCCAAACCCAACTGAAACACAGGAAGATCCTCATCGTCAAGAGCCTCCAAACATCCTGTAGAAAATCAAAAGAAGGTAAGTTATGTTATCTTTTCCCGTTCTGCCAAAATGTTTTCCTCCTGAGTACTGACAATCTCTATGGTTTTCACTTGTGCCTCATATCTGCTGATATATTGTGCATACAAAGAAGAGTCCTTAAAGGGGCGGGGTGGAGAGGGCATCATTAACAACTTCTCCACTGCTGGGATTTGTTCTTGGATTATTGCCCTTACCCATAAGCCAGACCAACTCACCCATAAGTCACATATTTCTAGCCAATAAAGATGAACTGTCTCAGCATCTCTCTGAACGGGAGAGGAATTGAGTGGCTGGGGGATGGTTTGGAAGGAGGGAGACTTTTACTATACGCTGTGTTGTAACTTTTGAACTTAAATGAAAAGATGGAGGAGAATTTCCTATTCTAAGAAGTAAGTACTATTAAAAAAACCTTTTTTTTTTCCAAGTGGAAGAATATATTTGTTTGCTAACTCGCTCACCTCAGCTGAAAACGTTCTAGTTGACATGAACCCCACTTTAAAGACTGGAAATTTCTTTTCTTCCAGGTCATTTCAATTATATTCTTTCTGTTGACTTGTGGATTTCTTAAAGTATTTTAAATTGCAAGTCCTTTCATCTCATGTTTCTTTTACTTCTACTTCGGGACATTTTTTTTTTTTTAACAGCTACAGCTGAGAGAAATCCCCAACAAAGCCATATAGTATTTTGCTTCACTAGGATGAAACCCCTGGTGTTGGGGTTTGCTTGATCCTGGAGCTCCCTGCTTAACACGAGCTGGCCTGCCCCTTCTTTTAGGTCCCTGTTTTCACCGGCCACTTTGTTGCAGCGAAAAAGGAGGTAGAGCAAGAGGCAGGGCTCTCCTGCTCCTTGTCATGGTGACTGACTTGGGGCTGAATGGAGAATTCACTGCATTCCTCAAATTGACTCCCTTCCACCAAAACCCTTGGAACTCAGCTCAGGCTTTCCAAGGGGCTGTTCCTGTGAGCTGGCCTTGGATGATCTTATCTGGGCCAGCCCAGGGTTGTTCTTCATCTCGGGGACCTCAGTCCATCTTGTTCTATAGCACGCTGATTTTAAAACATGGCTCAGCTATCTGCAGGTGGGAGAGAGAATTCTGAGAAGAATATTCAGAATGGATCTAGACTCATCTGGGTTCCAGGACCAGTAAAAGCACCAACAAATTAACCTCCTCCGGCTGTGCTAGATCCGAGCCCATGTCAAAGGTACAGCAGGAACAGGCTGTTTCCAGAAGTGCAGGGAGCGCCCACTTAATTATTCTCTCAAATCCTACAGCAAGATTAGTACAGAGATGCAATAATATTGTTCTTGAAGGCATTTTAACCTTGTTACTGAATAGTTCAACCACGTGTAATAGAACTCATACCATTGACCCCCTAGGTTTCTCCATTTGGGTAAAACATATACTCATTTTGTAGATCAGTGGTCCCTAAAATGAACTATTTGTACGTAGGGCACATGCGAGACAATCTTGTGGGGAACGCTAAGAAAATATTTGAACCTAGATTTAGTTTTATTTAAAATAAAACAAATTAAGCTTTACTAATATTTAATAATGGGTTGACACTGGTCTCCTCTCTCAGCCGACATGTCAGAAGATCAAGTGTTCTGGATGACAGGAGAGAAAACTTGAAGGAATCTTATGATTTGGAGAGATGAATAGCATCACCATAATTTATTTGTGTTTAATGTACTGGGACACACAGCAGTTTATGTGCAGCAAGCTGCATGGATTCTCAGGTTTTATAATCTTTATAATCTAGTTTTGATAAAGCTGAACCTAATAAGGTTGGGGTTGGGTTGGTTAATGGCATAAAAGTATTTCTCTAATGGAATCAGAGAATAAAGCGAATATTAAAATACAAACAAGTAAACAACAAGAATACAGTAGAGCACACACCTCTCCTATTCATGAGGTAAAAATAAGGACAATCTATGTCATCACATGGTCCCAACTAAAAATACTAGTGAGAGCAGAAATATGATTATTTTATCTTTATCTCATCCTTTTGAAATGTCTATTTTTGTGATTTTTTTTAAACATACATAATATGTTAATGGAATTCTACGTGTCTATGATTTTATAAGTAGATAACCATTTCATGAACGAGTATGCTCAAACATTTTCTTACTGATGGGATATGCAGTCAAAAGAGTTTGGAGGCCACTGTTAAAGAGAGGCAAACTAAAGCAAAATAATATTCAATTATTTCTTTGTATTCAGGAAGCAAATGAGTAAGAGTCAGAAATAAGTTCTGTCCTTCTTAAGTCCAATCATGGCAGGCTCCAGCTTCTCAGGGTCTCTGTGATTCTTGAATTCCAACTTCTTAAAGTATTATTTCTAATACTGTGTGTGAATTAAACCCACGAGGCAGTAAAACAATGCTGTGGGAAGAATGAAAGTTCTGGATTCAGACAGCCCTGGGATGTAGCCCTGGCCCTGTAATTTACTTGCTCTGTAACCCACATAGTCTCAGTTTCCTTATCTGTCCCGTGGGGGTAAATGACCTCACAGAGTTGGGAGGATTACTCGGATTAATAAATATAGAATCTCTGGCACATCATAGCCTTCCTTCCCCCTGCATTATATGCTAACCATAATTCATGAAATTTAACTCTAGATTAGAGTGAGGTTGACCATGTCATTAAGAGACTGAATACTGAAACCATATCCCCTAGGAGTCATATCAGAATCTTAGGGGTGGTGATTGACAAAGTAGATCAAATGAAAGTAAAATTTTATATTTGTAAATAAAAAATGATTGCATTACACATACTATGAAAAATAAAACTCAAACAAGTCATGTTGACTGGTAGAGATACCCAGAGGAATCTGTGATTATACTGGGGGGAGGGGCAGAGTGAGGGAAGCTCCCATCAGTGGGCATTTCAGAAACAGGAGAGCGTGTGAGAGTTTTATGTCCGTAAATGGGGGACATTTTTAAAAATAATGAGCAAAAGGATAGACAAATGATTTGAATGGACACTTCACCAAAGATGACATTCAGGTGGCAAATAAGCACATATGAAGATGCTCAACATCATTAGTCACTGGAGACATACAAACTAAAATCACAATGCCTATCACTACATGCTTTTAGAATGGTGTAAAAGAGAAAAAGAAAGAACTGGAAACCCCAAGTGCTGGTAAGGATGAACTCTTACACTTTATCGGCAGGAATTCACAGTGGTACAGCCACTTTGGAAAAGAGTTTGCTAGTCTCTTAAATATATATTTACCATACAACCAGCAACCCACTCCTAGATATGTACTCACGTGGACTGAAAACTTATATTCCCACAAAACCTATACCTGGAAGTTTACAGTAGCCTTACTCGTAAACTGGAAACAACTCGGATGTCCTTCAACTGATGAATAGATAAACAAACTGTGATATATCCATACCACGGAACACTACTCAGTAATAACAAGGAACAAACTATCGATCCATACAACATGGATAAATCTCTAGTACATTTTGTGTAGTGAAAGAAGTCAGAACCGAAAGGCTACATGTTGTATGATTTCATTTACATGACATTCTCAAGAAGGCAAAACTATAAGGACAGTTGCTAGGGGTTGGGATAGGAGAGGGATTGATTATGAAGGGGGAGCACAAAGGAATTTTGAGGGTGATGGAACTGTCCTATATGTTCCTATGGTGGAGGATACATGACTCTACATTTGTCAAAACCCATAGAATTGTGTAGTCCAAAGAACGAATTTTGTTGTATGCAAGTAAAAGAACAAAATCAACCAGATTGTCAGAGGCCCCAGATGGAACGTAGACTGTGGCAAATGAACAAAACAGTATTACAAGTGAACGCTTTAACCATGCTTCAGGGGGTGGGGAAGAAAGGAAAGAACTTAAATAACTCTGGAAATAAGTGTTTTGAGTGGATACTGCAAGGCTAAAACAAAAAATGACTTGTACACAAAATTAGAGTATACTCTAGTGAGTAAATTTGTCTCTTACAGGGTAGGGGTTAGCAATTTTGAAACTACTTTACCTGTATGCCAGAGTTGAACAAAGTAAATGTAGTGGAGATAATGGGAGCCAGGTTTCTTCTGGTTGGAGGAAGAGGTAATAAGCAAAGGGCCGACCCTGCGGTGCCAGGCTGGGTTGGAGGCATCTGTACGAACTCGTGTGTGATCTGTTTGTATGCTTTTAAGATATATTTAGACAGATAAGGGCTTCTCAACTTTGGCACTTTGATATTTTGGGGCTGGATAATTCTTTGTTGTTCGTGCCTGTGCTTTGGGGGATGTTTGGCAGCACCCCTAACCTTTACCCACTGGATCCCAGTAGCACCCTCCCCTTGAGCTGTGATACCTCAGAATGTCTGCAGACATCACCAAACACCCCCGGGGTGGAGGTGGGAGACAAAATCGCCCCCCCCCAGTGGAGAATCACTCAATTAGATATATGCAGAAGCAAATACACGTGTGTGTATATACACGGCTTAGTATGCAAATATGATTTCCTAGTTCTGTCCACTGAGGGCCAAGAAAACAGTGACGTCTCAGTAAAAATGAGCTCACCTACCCAGATCTTGGTTTCTATATACCATTCTCCAGTAGAAAGAATTAGGGCTTCTGAGGGAAGTGGTTTGTTCCAGAGGTGGGTCAGGAAAATACAAAATGAGTCCGAAGCATCTTGTGGTGCTACAAAATAGGAGAGTGATCCAAAGCCAGTGTGGGGGACTTGTTGAAACCTGAATGAGCTTCCAGTAGCCGGAGCTGGATTGATTTGAGGGAAAAAAAAAACCCAACAATATGGGATTATAATGCAAAGAACAAAATAAATATCCATGAGTCTAGAAGGCTGTTAATGAATAGATGGAAGAGATATGACAACTCTTCTTCCCAGAAGAATTCAAATCAATAAATGCAGAAGGAAGGAAGGAAACCAGAGAATCATTTGAACATCACAATCATAATTGCAACAGGAGAGAACCACTTAATGAGTGCTGAAATTAGTAGGTGAAAGTTTAAGGAG